TTGTAAAAGTGCATATGCTGAGACTATGCTGGAGATTACGTTGCTTGGTACTGCAGAAGAAGAAGTAGGATCTATGTGGGTTTTTGTCATCAGCACTTCCTCAGAATGTATTTCTCGTTATATACTGCGTGAAAGTAGCTGGAAATTCTGCCAGATGGATCCAAGGCTCGTGTGCTGTGTTACTGTTTCCCTTGTTGGTCGGTTGAGCACCTTACAGCTGGAAAGGAAGGTACAGTTTTCATTTACTGAGCAGTTTTCATTCCTGTGGACAATATACAAATAAAGTTTTCAAGAGTGGATGATATACCAAAGCAGTTTGGTCCCACTAGCATGAACCATAACTATCAATGCAAGAGTTGGCAGAGCATCAGCTGCAAAGGGGCTTATAGCTGGAATTTGGTCATGATGGTTGCCAAAACCTTGACAAAATCTAGCCCAAGGTGTTCCTCCTCTCCTTGTTTTCACTACTGGTCTGCCAGGCTGCTGCTGGGTGGTTTTAATACTGGAGCTTGAACTGGGTCAAGGCAGGCACTGTCTATACATAGGGATTCATAAACCCTTGTGCTGGATACACATTGTCTGTTGCTTCCAGTGATGGATGAGTGCTGGAACTTGTGTTTTAATTGCCTCTTACTCAGGTCCAGCGTTGACTCTGCAGGTTCATCATGTGGATTAAATGCAAGCTTTCCGTGGAACTTCAGTGAAGAGTTTAACGACTAATTAGTTTATAATGCATTGCTTTAGAAGCTATAGGTTAATGTGCTTTAGAAGCTATAGGTTATCTTTTAGGCAGGGTTTTATCCCCCTCTCTTGCATTCTTGTGGTAATTTTTGCACAACTTTCCTTTAGACTTGAGTTATATACCTGCAAAATACCTTGACAGGCAAAGTGTGATCACACTGGGTCCTGGGTGCATGCAGTTGGTGGGAGGGGGCAATTACTAGCCTTGAAATATTTAAACAGGTGAGTCCAATCTTAGTAGTAGTGGCAAGTCAAGGGATATTGGATTCTAAAAGTATCTCAGTTCTTATTCAGAGTCTTTATAAATACTGATTGAGGCTTTGGCATTAACAAACTAATATAGATCACATCATTTGCACTACCTTTTTCAGATAGGAAATAAATGGTTTGCCAAATAAGTCAGTATGTGAACATACCATTTGTCATCTGTTTGTTTTCTTTTTATTTAGCCAAGAAGTGTTACAGTATATTTTTTTAGGGGTCCATGCTGAAAAAAAATACACTTATTTGTGTTATAATTATATGTGGGGGTTGTATATATGCATCTGTAATCTTGAAAACTTCCAGGTTTATTAGCCTAGGCAATTAAATGCAAAACACAGTGCTTGATGGGCTGCATGCAAGATTACAGAATTTACAAGTTTTGGATCCTGATGTTGCTGTAGTGTAGATTTGCATTAGTGTTATGTTCTCTACAGTAGTATTTTTGCTATTATAAGGTGATCTGTGGAATAATAATGTCTGTACAGGAGCTGAGTAACAATGTGGAGCAGCCACAGTGTGCACAAGTCTGAGTAAACCTCGGACTGAAAATGTCAGGTTAGTTTTTCCTGTGGATGTTAAGCTAACAGGGATGTGTTCATCAGGATGTCACATGTTTGGTTGGAATCTCTGCTATGAGTTTGGGAATGAAATGAGAAGGAGTTGGATGGTTGATTTTGCGCACCCCTTTCTTCCTGACTGGATCAGCTGATCCCGGGGTTGGTGACAGATGAAGCTGGAGTCTGCCTGAACCTCTGTCTGCTGCAGCTTTTATCTTCCTGCCTTGGAGCTGCCGAGACTCGTGCTCTGTTGAGGTTTCTCTTAGTTCCAGATGAAGCATTGTGGATTTTCTGCTGCACAGCAAAGTACTCACTGTTCTAAAAATCCGCATTTGTGTGCTTCTTCTGGCCCTGAGGGGTACTTCTCCTGTGCAGTGACTACAGCGGGATTCACTAAGCAGCATGTGTTAATGGGACTGACCTATTGACAGAATAAATTACCCGTCTGGACCTGAAATGTGGGAAATGCACTGATGCTTTTTAAATGCCACGTGTTTAAAGGATAGTTAACTCTAGTTAGTGTCTCATTTTCATGAGCTGTCACGATGTCCTGATAATTTGACACCTGTACAACTTATTTATAAATGTTTTGTGCATTTAACTGCTGTTTTTTGCAGCTGCCTAGAAGGTCCCCATTAGCAAAATGCAGTTTCCTGCTTCTGTCTTTATGACATCTAGAAAATGTAATTGCATAAAGTGAAAAGAAAAAGCCATTTTTATCATCATAGGTCATGAAACAAGCACAGCCTAATAAAGCATTGCCATGAAAAACAACTTATACTTTTCTCCCCTTGCTCCTCCATATGCTCATTTATAGAATAGCAAATTATGAACAAGAACATTATTTAATTCTTGCCTCTAGCAGTCTTCTTTGTATGTGCAGCTTTGGTTGAGAGAATACGAGTTGCAGGTCCCATTTTGACAGAGTGGAGTTTTCACACAATTGTGCGATCCCTCTGATGCTCACCCAGCACCAAGCCTTTGTGTCTTGCTGGATTGAGATTTTTCTGTCTTTCTGGAAATGTAGGAAATTGTTCAAATGCAGCTCTCAAAGTCCAGGTTCTAAGCAGAGCGTATTGATCCCTTCCCGTTCACGCACACGATGATGCGAGGACGCTGACCTAGAAGCACCGAGTGTTAGTTTATTAGTTTTGACATCGGGATTCATTAGCTGTAATTCAATTAGAAGCACACTGATGGATGTGTTCGTATGCCGAGGCTGGCGGCTGCTTTAGGTTCAGAAACATAGAATTCTAGTTGGGAAATAGTTTTGTGCAATCTTGGGTAAGATTTGTATTGCTAGGCTAAAAGTGACATCGTTCTTGATTTGGTTTTTAATGGATTTCTCTCTGTTTCCAATTACGTTTCTAATTAGAATAATGTCTTATTTCCCATGACAGTTTAAAAATAATGCAAAGTCTGTAAAAGAGAAGCTGTCAAGATGATTGAATAATGTTTTCTTTTTCATTTGTTAGTCTAAACCTTTTTCTATTTTAACTGAATCTGTAGACCTACTAGGCTACAGGAACAGTTTCTGTAGTTACAGAAGGTCAAGGTGCAGTAGTTGCTAGGCTTGGGGCTGTTACCATTCTCACCCCAGCACACACCAGCCCTTAACCAGCCACCTGTGCATATTCCCTTCCTTGCAGGAAGAGACAACACCTCTCCCCTGTCTATAGAAACCTCAGCTTTTCAGGTGGGAGATCTACTGCTCTCTATCCTACCCTCTGCTTCCCCACCCAGGCGAATCTCCTGCCTTTTGCACCTGGGGTCCGGTCTTCTGCAGCAGCAGTGTTTCTGCAGCCCCAAAGATGTTTTGGAACTGAGATTTATGGCTCAAGGGCTGGATGTCTGAATAACCTCCTCTGGGAGCACTACCCTACTTGAGAACATAGTTGTAGTTTAAGACAATCAAAGGCTGTCTGCAGTGGAAATAATGCAGACGAGATCTGGAACTGGCATTTAGTAGTTGTTGAAACCTGCTTCTTGAGAACAAGACAGATCTAAACATACTGTGGGTGTGGAGGGTGTTTAGGCAGCCTGGGATGGAGGCTAAATCTGAAGCTGTGTCTGTGGCTGCCGGCTCAGAAAGCTCTGGGGTCTTGGAGAGGCTGATTGCAGTGAGCTCACCTCTATGCATAATTCAGCATGGCTGAGCGCAGCTGCCACCAGAGTCTGCCCATGTTTTTCTGGAGCATGACTTAAATCAAACCTCTGCCCGAGGTGTGCTGCTGCCATGTGTGTGATTACCTTTGTAGGTGTGGGAGAAAGGTTGGGAGCTCAGGTATACATGAAGGGGTGGCATTCCCTTTCTGCCAAGTACCTCTGACAGTGCAGCAGTGGGAGAGGAGGTTAGAACAGTGCAAAATTGTGATGCTTGCCAGAGAAATCTGCTTGCAGATAAATACGTATTTGCAAGGTCAGAGTGGTGATGTGCTTTGTAGCATCAGACGGGAGGTTGAGGGTACGTGGCAAGTCGTGCGTTCCGAGACTCGGCCCCTGCAGCGCGTTGGCTGTCACAGAAAGTTCAGGGCTGCAGCTATGGGTGTTACTTTTTGTAACAGCTCGCTTTGTAACAACGATAGTTCCTTTTTTTTTAATAGGATAACCTGTAAGCATGAGACACTAATTATAGTAAAACCTGTTTGTGTTTCTAGAAAACCCTTTGCTGTCAAATGGATCAGTAGATTCACCTGGTTTAAAAAAAAAAAAAAAATCCCTGCAAAGCTTCTCTCCTGTGTTCCTCCATCCTCCTCCTAAAACTGAGCCACGTGTGGTGTTTTGAGGCTGGAGTTCTTCTCTGGCCTGATTTGCAGAGCAGCTGGCACAGCTGAGGGATGCCAAGGTGCAGAGGTAGGGATGAGCAAGAGGGGCAGGAGTGCTTTAGGCAGGCTTTGCAGCCAAATGTTTCCTGCTATTGGACACCGCCTCTGAATGAAAAAGCAGAATTTGAAGTGCTTTGGCATTTAGCAAATTAAACAGATAAGAGAAGACTTTTTGAAACAGTTTCAGGAGCCTTTTTCACAAGATGTTCTTGAGGCTTGACCATGGTCCATGAGTTGATAACAAGTATCACAGTTCATGCAATGAGATTAAAGAATGCATACTTTTCTAGATGTAACCTGCATTGGTCTGGATCATGAATCAGTTTCTAGCAGAGAAGAATTAAGAAAATTTATCCATAAGGAGGTTATTTTATATCTGCCCGTGGCTGGACTTTTGCATCTTCCTTTGAAATGGGATATAGGGCTAGAGGGGACCTTTGATCTGGTTTCTTCTCTGGTATAGTTATTAAAGCCTCTACATTCAGCTTGTGAGAAGCCATTAGTATTTCAGTGCAATGAAAAAGTCTGTCGTGGTTGAGGCAGGTGAGATATGCCTTGAAGAAAGGTTCAAGTCTCCTTAGCCTTTTTTGTTTATTCTTACCTTCAGGGTATACAGCATGGCCCAAACAGAGAAGAAAGGTGGGTTGCTCCGGAAATCTTCAGCCTCCAAGAAGCCATTGAAGGAGAAAGTCGTGTTGATGTATGATGAGATTTTCACGGTAAGGACTTGTGTCTCTTCTTTCTGAAGTGTTGTGTTAAATATTCTTGGTTTAGTTTGTGCTGAAGGCTCTGCGTGGTGGATTCTTCTCCCAAGGTAAGGACTGCACAGTGTACGTAAGCAAGGACTGCTCTGCTGTTGTCACACAGAGCTCTGTATTCTGCTGTCTTCCCTAATGTCACCTTGACTGTTGTGTGCCAGTACTATTCTTGATCTATGGGAAGTCACAGCTTTTCAAGTATTTCTCAAAAAATAATCCAGAAAATAAACAGAGGCGTCCCAGTTGAGAACAGCTTCTGTTTGTCCTTCTGTTTCTGGGAGTCTGTATAGACAGAATTCTGTACTGTGACCACTTGGTCATCCAGTGGGATGGTGCTGACTCTGAGCTATTAATGATAATGATTTTCTTTAAATACTGCTTGACTTATTTCTTCTTGTTTCTTCAATTCATAGCTGTTCCTTTTCCTTTCAGACAGAGGACCCCAGTAAATGCAACCCTAGGTTTTGGGAGGAGCTGTTTCTCATGAAGGTAACAGGAATTAAACACCCTCTGATTTGCTCCTGCTCTTCTGCCTATGAAGTGGCAGACTATTAGCACAAGGACTTGCATTTCTAAGGTGTCAGTGGTTGTATAACACGCATGAACTCCTTCTTAACCTGACAGGTCAACTTGGAATATCTAGAAGGCAAGCTGGAGGCTCTGGATGGGGAAGAGTTAATGAAGATAAAAGATAATATCAACTGCTTGTTTCAGCACTGCATCCAGGCACTGGGTGAGGAACACCCAATCAGAGTGGTCAATGCTCTACAGGTACTACACTGAGAGATGGGAACGATCTCTTCTGCTTCTGATGAGGCAATGTATTCGCTACTGGTATCAAACATTTCTTTAGTTCTGAGGAGAAGTGGTGTCTGCAGAGCAGTTGCTACTTATTTTCTGTTGTGGTTACAAACATTCATAGTCTCTTTAGTCCTTGAGAAACAATAACTTGCTTAAGAATTCAAGAAGATCTGGTGGTGCAGGATGAAGGACATGGCAATGAAGGAACAGGAGGGGCTTGTTCACACTGCAGGCTGTCAGTTTAGAGGCTCAAGAGGACTCTGTGAAGCTTTGTCTTCTACTTTCTCCTGTTGTCCCCCATTTCAGCCTCCTTTTTGAATTTCCAAATGGGTCTAAAAATGAAATAAAGTTCTGGAGAAGTTAGTGTGAAACTTAGACAGGGGGATTTCCCTGCTGGATGCATTCTAAATGGAAGCTGAGAAGAATTGTCCCTCAGAATTAATAAACATTTTCGTGCAGATTGTTTGTTACCAAAGCTGTGCTGTCCCATTTCTTGCGCAGAAGACTGCCTTTCTCAGTCTTGTACTTGATATTATGAGTTCATAGGCTGATTAAATGCAGTCTGGTAAATGCATTTGTCCCAGCTTCTCTCAGCTGTAGGAATACAGGATATGAATTTCGGGTTTGGAGAAGTCACCTGTAAAACATTGGACAGACAGTAAACTGGAAAAATTTGATATAAAACTGAGAAAATTTACACCTCTGATGACGTACAGTCTTGATTTTTTTTTTAAAATTAGTTTGAAAGGATGCTATTAAACAGTGTAGTTATAGCTCCATAGACAGTCTAGCCTGACCCTGAATTCACAAGCTTGTATTCAGGCTCCTGGCAAAAGTTAGGCCTGGGCTCAAATCTCGAATCCTCCTGGGAGGGTGTAAATAGAAATCAGGTAACACATTCTGGGCTTGGGATGGGAGAGCTGTGCTCATGTGGACACGTTGTCTGTGCTCACACTGTGCTCATGTGGAAAGTGATGCTGAAGCCCACACTTATTTAAACATTCTTTTCTTGAGAATGACTATGGTGACCAAGGGTTTGTTTAGCCCAGTATCCCATCTCTGACAGTAACAAGTAACAGAACAAGTAGGAAGGTTCTTAAAGCCCCTGAAGTAGGTAGGAACACTTAAGCTGAAACAAATAGGAAAATTATGGACAAATATTTTGGGGCTTTTTTGAGTTCTCAACATCCAAGATCCTCCTTAGAAACAATAGAGGTGGAGAAGAAATCAGGCAAAACGTATGGCTTCCAGGCTGGTGGTAATCATTTAAATGTCTGCTTTGCCAGTGCTAGGAGAGGGTTTTAGAGTGGATTTTGTTACTGAGTTGTAGATGTTTCCTTACATCTTACCGTCTGATTTTTCCCTTTGTAGACTTTGTGTGCGTTGATTCGAGGCGTCCATCAGAAGAACAAATCCACCTCAGGGTTTGACATCATCAACATGCTTGTGGGTTTTGATAAGGCAGAGCTATGTATGAAGGTGAGGCCCTGGCAATGTAGAGAAATAGTTTGCATAGCAGCATGTGACAGGGACAGTGATTTGTAGACACATGTGTCTACCAAGATGCAGCTTTCAGGGGAAATATTCCAGCTGCTTGTTAAAGACAGCTGTCCTGAAGTTATTTACCTGCTAGTGGCCCAAAGATATTTGGGTTCTCTGTGTTTGTCTCTAATACAACAGAGCACTTTTCTTTCTTTTCCCTTAATTCCATGCTGTGCAGTCACTTTGGTTAAGAAATCTTAAGGCTATGTCATGGTTCTGTTTAGCTCAAACAGGGACAGGCTATAAACGGTTGTCACAGGCCATTAGCACCTAATATTGAGCCTCATACCTGGTCCTTAATTTTTAGCTAATAGTCATATGTTGTGTTCTCACGTTTCCATCAGCTCATGTACCATTTTAAACTTACTTGATGCTCTTCACTGTAAAGATGTTAAGTATGACAAAGTAATTGGTGATAAAGCTGAATTCCTGTTGTATCTTTCATCTCTTTCAAAAAAGTAGTACATTTGGGGAAAATACTAAGTAGTAACTTGCCTATCGGGACTTCATTTTTTCTTTAAGAATAACTGTATTACCTGTAACTTAGTATTTAGAAAGCAATTAATTTATGGATATCTGTCAAACAGCTATATAGTATGTCAAACAGCTATATAGTATCGTTTTAATCATAACTTATATATGCACTATTAAATCGAAGGGGTGCTACTTAGAAAAAAATCTCATGGTGCCTCTAAGTAAAATGGAATATTGAAAAAAGAGAGCACTGATATTATCGTCTTGCAAACAAAAAGGAAGATCATATTTGTACAGCTTGAAATTACTTTGTGAACAAAATCTGTTGTTATGGGTATACAAAAATCTCTCATGCATCTAGAGAAAAGTCTTGGAAAATGATCATCATGTTACAGCTGTAGTCATTAAAATGTAGTTAACACAAACCAATGTTGAGAACCAATAGTGTGGACGTGGCCTGTGTAACAGTAGTAATGGCTCGGTTAGTGCTTTTGGAATAACATGACTTTATATTGGTGCTCTTGTATGTGAATCTCCCAAAAAACTTTTTATAACAGACATTTCAAATAATTTAATATATTACTTTGAAATAATGTGATTGTTGTTCTTTAGAATCTGATGGAGAGCTTGGACTCACTCCTCTGTGCGGAAGGTTCTGAAAGCCTCAAAAGCTTGTGTCTGAAGCTACTTCTCTGCTTGGTGACGGTAAGTGAATACCAGCTATATAACAACTTAAAGCTTTATGTGAGCCACATCTGGAGGGATGGAACTGTCTCAGAACTTGAGCAGAATGCTGGAGTGTGAAGCTTAAGAGGGGAAGAAATTGTGAGAACAAAGGTCAGTCTATAATAAGCATCATTGCTCTAATCACCATGCCAATACAGACTAGCCGACTATTTTCACCTCATGAGATAGTTGCCAGCTGGAGCATAAGGAGAGCAGTGCAGGAGAAAGTGTCAATTGGATTCACTGTTTTTTTTCAGGGAAAAAGATATTTAAGAAATCTCAGATAAATGAGAAGGGAGCAGAAGAGAGGTGTTGAGGAAAGACAGGAAGCATGGAATAGACAAGACTGGTGAGGATATGAAGAATGAGAAAGTTGGAACAAATGGTCACTCAGCATCTCTTGGAGATGGTCAACTGCAAACTGTATGGGCTGTGATAAGAGAGAATTGAGTGTGAGGGAGGCCTTCAGTGCTCTGTTTGTGATGGAAAAGTGCTCAGTGGAGCATATGGGCCTTGCTTTTTTCACCCTCTGCCTGCAGCATAGCAGCCTGCTTCAGCTGCTGATGGCTGTTGTCATGCAGCTGTGTAAAATATCGATCTGTAGAGGAATGGGGGAGCTCTTAGATGTGGGTCATGCTTCTTGCCAGAGAGAGGGATGGGAGGCAGGACAGATTTCTTTTACTTCATGTCTAGCTCCACTGCTAGTCACACCTTGACTTGTTGACTAAGTGTGAGCTTCTAGATAAATGTGTCCATCTGGTAGTAGAAGTCTTCTGTTCCTCGTGTGTGCCAGAGGCAGCTGCAGCACTATGGGAGGCTTCAGGTGAGATTTTAAAACTTGTGTTTGTATGCAGGTGACAGATAACATTAGCCAGAACACCATCCTGGAGTATGTGATGATTAACAGCATATTTGAAGCTATTTTACAGGTAAGAGTTGTTCTTTCTACTGCAGGGGCTCCTCTTCCATAGTGAGAGCTTTCAGTCTTATATTTGCTTTTCATTTTTTTCAGTGCAGCATAGCTGACTGGCACTGTGTGTTGCTTCCATTCATAGCTCAGTCATAGATTTTTTTTTTTAAATGCTGTCTCGTCCTTGCACTAGTCTGTTGTTTTCAGTCACTACTGAGTATATATTTTCAGTTGAGACATTTGTGCATAGATAGAAGCTGAACAGATTTCTGGGCTAATCTCACAGAGAATTCCTGTATCAGAGGAACTTTTTTCAAAAGGCAGTCTGGATATATTGAGGTTTTTTCTGATCTTTGATAAATTATACTTTCTAGAAGTGGAACTGGGCCTGGGGAAACCCAGAAAACTTGCACAGATAATGTTGGTGATGCACTGAGATACTGCCCAGTGCTGTTGAAAAATATATTTGCCATTTATGCCCAGAAAACCTATGTGCATCCTCTCTGTCATAAATAAGCTTCTCTGTGTGCAGAACTTCTTGGAAGCACCAATGCTCCTTTGACCTTAAATGTCCTCTCTCAGTTAGGACATAATTTGCTCTTATGCATACATTTGATGGCCATGCGCTGTCTGAGAGTGACTGCAAACTTCCTGAAGCAAGCCTGAGCAGAACAGTGTGATTATTTATTCCAGATCCTGTCCAGCCCACTTAGCCGCAGGGAACATGGCTATGATGCTGTTGTCCTTCTTGCCTTGCTGGTCAACTACAGAAAGTATGAGGTAGGTATTCTTCTGAGTAACAGAAACATCACTTCTCTCTATTTTATTAATTTACACTGGCCTCTGGATTATTAAGGCATCCTACAGTACAGTTTTTAGCAGTAAGCACTACAACATTTATCAGGGTATCAGAGCTACAGAAGTTTTGCAAGGCAGTCACATTATGGTAACCGTATCTGTCTCTCTCTCTCTCTGTCATGTGTATGATATTCATACAGCTCGTTTTGTGCAAGCATGAAAGTAACCCTCTACGGAATTTGTATTTGCTTCATGAAAGTATTTGGAGGAAGGTCCTTTTGGAAGAGTTACTGTTGTGCCGAACTTGCATGTTTGCCTTTGTGCATGTGACTGTGCAGTTACACATAATCTCCAAAGTAAAATGAGTTGTCAGTCATCTTGGGCTTCAGACTGAGTTTGTGATTCAGAACCTGACTAGCAGACTGAAAAAGCACAGATCCCCAGAAGACTTGGTGAAGCTGTGACCAAAGAATGAACTGAAACATCACAGCGAGTACTTCCAAGAGAAATCTGTCTCTGTCTCTTTGACTGTTTCCTCTCTGAGAAACTTTATTCATCTTCCTTTTCTAAACTGGTTGTACTACTTTGTGATATATTTCCATTTTTTCTGTTATTCATCACCTTGAAAAAGAAACATTTCAAATGTCAAAAAACCCGTCTAATGTTGGCTTTTCTTTGCACGAAGCAAATTTTTTTTATATCTTAATATACTTAGAATGGCAAAAAATGGGAAACTGCTGGAATATCCCCTCATCAACAGAATTACTGGGAGGGGCAGGCTCCTAAACCTACCTGGTTTTATAGTAGGTTGTGGTTTGAACTATGAATAGACCTAGAAAATAGGCAAAGACAGGAGCTATGCTTAGTGTCAAAGTAATCCCTGTTAATTTCTCATTCCTGTGAATCTTGTCAGAATCATCGGTTACAGATACTGTTCAGCAATCTGTGCCGTGGTAGCATGGAACAGGAGTACGGAGTTGGGTTTCAGTGTATGGTCTTGAGGGGAGACTGCTGGGAATGGTAAGGGTGAGGGCAGACTGGAAAGACCAGAGGTCTCATTTGGGTCAAAGAGTGGAGAGCTGTCCCATCCTGAGCTATGGATCCCTGTGTATGTAGTTTATATCCTTAGTAAGGTAGAGAGCCGTGAGTACCTCACACTATACCTCTGCTCTTTGCAGTAGCTTTCTGTGGAATATTGAGTTGGGGTCGAGTGCTTTGGAAAATGTTGTCCTAGATGTCTCCAACCTGGTCACCCAAAAGAAATGGTGGTCATGTTTGAAAAGTACAGTCTGACCTGAGGCAGATGTGTAGCAAGGGGAATTTCCACTCGAGTAGTTCACCTGGCAAGGCTGAATGCAACTTGGAGAAAGGTTTTATGTGACGGTTGCCTGACGCTGCCTTTTGTAAGCAGTGCTACAAGCAGAACCTGTAGGAATGCACTCATACTCTTTGTCCTTAAGTAGAGTAACTGCTTTCATTTGCTCTGCTTTGACCCTTAGTCAGTTTGGGGGTTGCATGGTTGTCAGTGTACGGTGGCGTACCTTAAATCTAATTAGATTGAAAATTCATTAGTTGACTATGATTTTGTGTCTGTCTTTAGTGTGAATACCAGTGTGTTTTGCATCAGAATGTTCTTTCGTATTTTTGGGATGTGAGTTTTGTAGTCTCCTTTCAAATTCCCTGGGGAATATCTGTCCATACTTTTCATTACCATGATCTTGGCTTGCTCATTAACTTCTGTTCTAGGAGTAAAAATGATTTAAATGTCTTTACATGGAACCTTTAAAGGGATGTCCCTGATCTGAAACCCAGTAATTTTCAAAAGTTGTTCCAAGTATATACTTATTCAAGTCTTTAGCTGTATTTTACACTTTTTTTTTTTTTAAATCCTAGTCCTGATTCCGGAGAAAATATTTTTTACCTTGATACTACGTGAGAGAAACATGAAAAAGTAACTAAATAATTGACTGTATCAGGAATGGTGATGCTAAATGTACACAAAAGACTGCCAAACAGAGAAAATGCTGTGAGGAAGAGAAGTTATTTTATCACTTTCTCAGTGTTTTAAGGGCTAGCTGCTAGAATAGCAACTTAAAACATAAAATCAGGTAGTGACTTTTAAATAATTAGATTCCTTGATATAACATCTAGGTGGAAATTTCTTTGTGTCATGTTCAACCTGCTAGAATTGCGTATTGTGTCCTTTGCTAGGCAGGGCTGAAAGAAAGCGGTCAAAAGGTGGGTTTTTCCCTTTGTGTGCTTGTCTGGCGGCATATGGTGTATCCAACAGCCCTTTCTGAGCGATTATGTGCACTTGCCTCTCCTTGGTGTAGTCAGCTACAGGTGCTGAAGAGACACCGACACTGGAGAGTCAGAAATTTTTTATTTTTTTTTTTTTTGATTCTCACACAACTGAAATTATTTTAAATTAATCTCTAACAAAAACAGTAATTACTCAAGCTCCAGTTCCCTGCAAGATGGCCTGCCTGCAGAGGAGATGGCCTCATCAGGGCTGGCAGCAGAGCTGCTGAATCATCCCTAATGAGCATTCAGGGAAAACACTTGCAAGGAGTAATCGAGTGGACTCTGGCCCTCATTTGTGTTACAAATGTGAAAATAAGTTAAGCAGCTAACTAGGGATTGCACATGGTTATCTTATTTTTTTCTGCTTTCTTTTCCTACTAAAAATTTGTTTTCCATAGGTTTGTGCTGGAGACTGAGGTGCATTTGGCGGCATGGAGATCTCTTTCCTTCTGTCAGATCCTCATTTAACACACACTTTGTATGGCATTTCTCATGTGGAGATTGCGTTTCTGACCTGCTTTTAATTGGCTTGTCTTTTAAAAATTACCTAGTAATGATCTCCCTGCAGCTTCCACCTTAATTCCTATGAGACTGTTGGCATCTAATGGTGGGGAGATCATGCAGGACACCTGGAGTATTCCCAGATTCCAGGAGTTTGTGCTCGTCACTGAGGAGACCTTGATGCTACAGTGTTTGTTATCTGACGGCAGTGGTAGGAGAACTGTGTTCTCTGAAGAGCTGAGAAGCATATTTTTGTGTTCTTTCTGGAGAAAGGTGGAGGCAGAAGCTATTTCTAAGTTTGTGTCACTGCTTCATTGACACACTTTGAAGTTTTCAAAATGCTTATCAACCACTTTTCAAGGCTGTTGCATGTTTCTGGATGTTGTGGTGTGACAGGTGTAATTTAGACTTCTAAAACTTGTGCTGTGAATTCCCAGTGAGGGAAAGATGGAGGAAACTCTGAAATAGCAGGAATAGAATAGGGAAGCAGGCAAATAGTATGGGTTGGGTGTAGCAGTGCTTGTACAACCTTCAGGTTGCTGTCATTTGTCATAGATGAACAGGCAATAACTGGAACTGTTGTTGTAACTGAGTGGCAGGAGCAAACTGTGTGCCCTGTGGGCAGAGCAGGAAATATTCTCATCACACCGGCACAGGCTTGCACACGGAAAGGCGCCAGAAACTGCCTGGTTCCACAGAGTAATACAGGATGTGGATTGCGCTGGTTACTCGTCTGCCTGCTGCTGAAGGAGTCAGAGAAAGCCTAAGGGAGGCATGGCATGTGTCAGGTGAATGGAGTACTTCAGACAGGAATTACTAAACAGACTTCTGCAGATATGGAAATGACAACTGACAAGATAGAGCACAGAGATCTGTAGCAAGCTAGGCCAGCTCTCCTATGGAGAGGACCATATATTGTTACTCAATAGGAGCCTCTACTCCAGCCTTGAGGAAATGTTTTTGCATGCTTCGTGCACAGATGGGTTCTGTGTGAGTTTTCTGTCTTTTTCTGAGGCAGCATGGGGCCGCATGCTGCTGGAGGCAAGCTGACAAACTGCCTGAGCTTTGGTCTGTTCTGATCAGTTTCTTTTTGGATCCAGAAAGCAAGCCTGATCTTCCCAAAGCACCAAATAATTGTGGGTGTTTTCTGATCAGCCTTATTTTTATTTTGCTGTCAAGTCATGGGGAAATCAGTTGGATAACTGTGTAATTTGTAGGGCTGCATCTGATGCATGATTTGTGTTTTATTCTTCCCAGTCAGTTTGGGCTTACTACACAGATAGAGCCTTTCCTTCTCTGTCCTGGTTCTAAATCAACTTTGATAGTTCTGCACTGACACATACAAGCAAGGAAAAACAAATGTGCATTGCTAATCTAAAGTGCTTCCTAAATTATTAGGACTTACCTTTATAGATGGAGCCCATGTGCCTTGTTCAACTAAGTTCACGGTATTTATATTCTCAGAGACTTCTAGCTCTCAGTGGTGCAAACTGTTAAAGTGCTGAGCTCTAACCCAGCAGCAGATGAGCCCATAACATTGTCATGCCCTCCTGGGTCCTCCTTCCTTTAAGCAATCTTTGCAAGGTGTTGCAGAAGAGAGATAGCAGAGCGCTGATGTTCAGTCCCAGTCTCACTGCTTGTTCCTGCTGCGTGACAGTGTGTGTGTTGCAGATAACGGGCTTGCAGGACAGCTGCTCCGCTTTGGGGACTGAAAAATGAGCTGGCAGAGGAGCAGAAACTCCCTCTTGCCTCAGTAAAATCAGGAGCCTGTCTGGCTGAGCAAAGTGAAGAGAAGGTATCCCAGGCATAGCAGCCTTTGCATGTGCTGTGGGTCCTGTTTCTTTGTATTCTGTTTTGTGGGACAGGATGGAGATTCTTCCCAGGTGGTTGGGTAAACTTTGAAAGATAATAGTATTTTTTCCTAATGGCTGAACTTAAAACCGATTTTCTTTATTCCTTCTCTACCACCCCCTGAGCAGTCAGTGAATCCCTACATTGTGAAGCTCTCCATCGTAGATGATGAGGCCACACTCAATGTGAGTATTTGACTTGGTTCCTTTGTGCTGCTTGGGATGGTCTCTCACATGTGGTATTGAGGTGGAATGAATGCAGTCACGGTGTCGTAGAAAGGTGGTCTGGGAACAGTGCTACTGTAAAGAACACCGCTGTGGTGGGTTTTTGCCCTAACTCACTCTTGCACTAGATAAGGCCACTCATGATTTGGACAGTTTGATCACCTTACCCAATTGCAACATTCTCTGCTGAACTTAGTAATTAGATATTCAACTTTAAATTTTGGCATTTTGATTTTTAGATGATATTTTTATTGTGTCATAGTGTGTCTTCATAGTTCAAACAGCTGGACGGGAAATTCTTCATAGTGTGCTAGGTTATCGTGGAGGGTGCAGCACTGCTGTGTGTGTTCAGTGAGTGGTTTCCTGCACAGAGATTTGGGATGTAAAGATTTTTTTTTTTAATGCTTTTTTTTCAGGGAATGGGACTTGTAATTGCCCAGGCTTTATCGGAATATAACAGGTAAGACCTAAATGTCTCTTGTTTTTCAGTGTGTGATCGTTGCTGTACATTTCTACAAACTTTTTTTGAGTTAAAGCACTTATTTATCACTTAACAGCTGTGATGCACCTGAGGTGGCAGGGAATATTCTTATGCTTGAGGTACTTCAGCTCAGTTGTTGCTGTCATTGCAAGTGTAAATGCATCTGTACCAGCTGTGTTGATGTGCTTCAGGAGAGATCTTGCTGTAGGGGAAGATATCCATTGTATGTTTTTACTATCGTGGATTTTGCGTCTGTGTGAACCTTGTGTAAAATCTTATGGTCCCAGGTGAAAAGATAAATGATTTGCTGAGTACTTCTCTGTTAGAAAATTGATTTAACTGAAACGTGATCTAAACCGAATAAATGAATCCAGGACTATCCACATGCGAAATCAGAGGTGATTAGGGGATGCATGCTCTTGCAAATGCTGAAAAGCATTAACTGCTTCTGAAGACAGAGCCAGAAAGGCAGCAGTAGGGACATTCCCAGCCTCTGCTTCACAAGCAACAACACAAAATGTGTAAGTTTTCCTAAGGAGAAAGTGCTTCAGAAAAAAATTGGAAACAGCAGTTTCACCTGAGCAACCCAAAACTTTTTTTGTGCACTAGGATTCTCAAAATATCCAGAAAAAAGTGTTTTAATTCCTTTAAAGGTCTGCTTGTCATAGGTATGCAGATAACTTGCAAGATGATGCAAATCAAATAGTGTACATGTATTTAACTGAGTAAATTACTAAACAGAAACAAACCCCACACAGTCCCATTCTGAAAAGAGTTGTCTAAAACTATGGCCTCTTTTGCTTAGCTCTTTTTTTCCTTCTTACCAAAAAGCTTAGAAATGCTTTCTTTGTGTGTTGCATTATGTACGATCAGATTCCCGTATGAAAGACATCATAAATGGCCATGTGAGCTTTGCTAGCCCATTTGAATGCCAAGTGAAGCAACTTGGCTTAGATCTGAGGTACCCGACCTGTTTGTTGACTTCACTGACTCCAGCTCCAGTCCCTTCGCGTACTCCAGGAATGTGGGATCAGGTTAGATCAGGCCATGAACCATAATGGTCCTCATGGTTTCTGCTGATTGTAGGGTGATCAAGTCTGATTTATCCTGTAGCAGATGATAATTGACATGAAACTGTTCTGTGGTTACTGAATGTGTGTGCTTGTGTGGTTCATTACTGTTCTGTCAGTGCAGGACAACATTTCCTAAGTCACTTGATCCTTTCCTTCAGTGTGAACCCAGACTGGATGTATCCTCTGTAACAGCACAGGCGTTGTTACTCTCACCTTCCAGCATCTCCACTTTAACACCACACAATTTACAAATATTTTAATACCCTCTGCATTTCTGTTTGTGAGATCTTGAAAAGGGATTGTTAATGTTGAAGCTTTCTCCATCCTGTGTCCTTATCAGATAAGAGTGTCTCATAGGAATTTACATAAAATAACCCTAGTTCCATTTCTACCCTTGAAGCTTCATCCTTCTTCCTTTTTTTTTCAGGCAGTACAAAGATAAGGAAGAGGAGCACCAGAGTGGTTTCTTCTCAGCCCTAACTAATATGGTAAGCACTGAAGCAGTATTTTTCTATTCTTAAAATAAGGGCATCATGGAAGTTCAGCAGAAAAATGCTGGGTATTTTAGGGGCATGTTGTGCTGTAGCAAAGTCTGGTCTGCAGCTAGCTTTAGAAATCCATTTCTTTACGGTATTGTTTCTCAAGCCTAAGTGCACTGTAGCTATCAAGTGAGCTTGAGTTCTGCAGTAGGCAGTGTCTGTTTTCAGAGGGGTACCCCCAAAAGTCAAAAGACTATCCACTGTTCTCTTTGTTCAGTTTTACTTTGCTTTAATCTGAGATTTAATTGCGGTCTGAGGTCTAACTGGCAGGAAAACTTCCTGTAGGTATGGGTAGTTGTGTGTTGGCAGCTGTTTACCTAAAAGCTGTCATTTCTGTTGTCCTCTTACAGATTGGATTCAAGATACAGTCTTTTCGGTTGTGGGTTGTTGGGTTTCTTTTGGTGATTTGACAGGTGAAGCATTGGTCAACGACAGTAGTGCAAAATAAAAAGTGTAGATGGGCATCCTGTTTCCCATTTGTACTTTGCCAGTATTAGAAAGAAAGTTGCGTGCATGCCTTTGATGAGAACACCTCTCCCAGGGCACTTCTGATTTAGGTATATCCATGTCTTCTCTCTTGCTGTCTAATAGCTCTCATAAATTCATCCTGTGCAATACTCTTTCTTTCCATAGGTGGGCAGCATGTTCATAGCAGATACTGATGAGAAGATCTCAGTCCAGTAAGTGCACAGATGTTAGTTACACAATGAATGGCAACTCACCACACTGGTGAACGTGATCTGCTCCATCGTGGAGATGTTTTAATGCAGCAAAGCGAACTAGAGAGACATCAGTTTTCTTGTAACTATGAAATACTACCACACCCCTGCAAACTATGGTTCTCACTTAAGTAGGAGGAGTGCAACAAGGGGGTTCCACAGCCGAATTGCTTGTAATCAAGTGTATATATTAAACAAGAAACAAAACCACAAAAAACAGACAAAAAACAAACAAGCAAAGCCAACCCTATAGTTTTTGTGAGGCGTTTTTAACATATAATAGGCATGTTGGAGGTGTCAGATGGGAAGTGATGGTTCATGCCCTTGTCCCCAAGAATGTGTTTTCTAAATCGAGGGGACAAGTAACAAATATGAGGGTTTGTGGTGTCTATAGGAACCTCTTCCTTTAAAACAAAGGGCTTTAAAGGGAAAACACTGTTCGAGACTGAGCGATGAGGGAGAACTTCAGCAAGAAGGGAACAAAGACTGTAGTTGAGCTCTAAAAGTATATATTTTATTGATTGCTAATAATCAGAAGAACTGCTGGATTGCAGAGGCAGAGTTTCATATAGTTGAAAAAAAAATATTCTTTTAGATGGGCCATGCTTCTGAAGAACTTTGCTCTTGGGATTCTCATCTGGTGTTAGCCCTTAAATAACTGTGCTTCTGTCTGTATCCCTTCCACAGAACAAATGAAGCAATCCTTCTGGCTCTTTATGAAGCTGTTCACTTAAACCGGAATTTCATCACAGTTCTGGCACAAGTGAGTTTCAGTACAATGTTTGCCCATGTCTTTGTAGTGGATATCTGTACTTTTAGGAAATGCTTGGGAAGATGAGTGAAGTTTTGAGGACACAGCTCATATTAGAATGAGCCATTTTTAGCACTGAATGGGCAATGCTGCATGGATTATCTCCTCTCTGGTGACCAGTGATAGGGCATGAGGAAATGGAATGAAGCTGCATCAGGGAAAGTTCAGGTTGGGCATTAGGATAAGGTTTTTCCCCGAGGGGGCGGTTGGTCACTGAGATAGGCTCCCCAATGAAGTGGTCATGGCATCAAGCCTGTCAGAATTCAAGTAGCACCTTGGATGATGCTCTTAGTCATATGATTTAATTTTAGGTAGTCTGCGAGGAGCAGGGAGTTAGACTTGATCCTTGTGGGTCCCTTCCAACTTGACAGTCTATGATGCTATGAATGCCTTCTGTGCCCTATTGGCACTTCCTTTATGGAGGGTGGACTGGTGGGAGTAAGATTGCTGCAGCTGTCAGAGCAATTCATGCCCTTGATAAGTTAGGCTTGAGGGCAAGAGGATGATCTGGCTCCAAAGCTGGATGAATCGCCTTGTCTGGGTGTGCACAGGCTGCCATGTTGTTGTCTGTTTGAGTATCCTTCACTTAGGGACTAATTGACATGTGAGGGCTGTTGTATCAAATACTGTTTTGTGTTCAAACTTCCTTGGAGAGCTTAACCATTTTTGCTTGGGAGACTGTCACTGGAACACTCATCCCTGTGCTGTTGATGGTAAAGAAACAGAGCCTTCTGAGGAGCAGTAGGCTGCTCCGTACCTCTGACCACAAACCTCTGGATGCTTCCCTAAACACAATGTGAGTTTGCAAAGGCAGTCACTGCTGGGAGAGATAGCAGGTCTGATTTGGTGATTGTGCTGTGGCTGGCTGAAACAACAGCCTGATGGGTTTAGGAAAAGCCTTCAGGTTTAGGCATTTAAGTGTAGCTTGTAAGTACCACTGGTAATCTGCGAGAAAAATGACATCAACAAAACAGTAAACACCTTTCCCCAGTTATTTCAGGTCCTCAGAGTGCAGCCATACATCACAGGCTAGACACTTGGGATGGAGGAGACCTTTGGGGACTCTTGACAGCAGTGGTGATGGAAGAGTTCTGATAGGCAGATCTACTGCCTCTGAAGAAAGCTTCTGTTCCGTGGGCAGTTAATTTGCTGAAGGTCCTTGTCTCTCTTTTCCCAAGTTATTAATTCCTACCACTTGTGCGATATTTCTGCTCTTTCAGTTATGTGTAATAGCAACTCAGGCCTTTCTGTGGTCAAGAGATCCCTGAGGGAAAAGAGGCCTTTAGCAAGGAAAAGAGCAGCTGGAATAAAAGCTTTTAAATATGTGAAAGTGATAGGTGAAGTGGGTAATCGAAGTGGAGGTCTGATGTTCTGGGGTGGATTGTCTGTAATCCTTCATTTAAGAGAGGTCAAGGTTGGTCATGCTGTCCTTTGAAAACCTCATAAAAGCTGATGAATGCTCTTGTCTGAGTTGGTGCCCATTGCCAGGGGCTGCATGAATGTCTACCTCCTGCTGTGAAGGCACATAGGAAGAGCAGGGATACAGTTGTGTTGATGCTTGAAGTGTTAAGGTTTTCGTATACTTACCGGCTTCTTGGTCCTCCGTTTTTACTGCTAGGTGGCACTATTATCTCTCAACTGACTGTTAGTGTTTGGAGGAAAAAAAGGTAAACACCATAGCAAAATCTATGGAATCAAATCTGTTTTATGTAAGATTTTAAATGGAAAATTGTACTTTAAAGTTTAAATCAGTACTTGTAATGATTTAAAATTGTCTCTGAATTGTGGTCTGTGTGTCTGTGCTTCCCATAAAATACATTCATTTATCATTGCTCATAAAATGAGATATTCAAAGACAATATTCACTTGTGAAAAATCCTATGGAACTAACGTCAAATCAGCAGTTGTGTATTCCTTTCTTTTATTTTTAAATTGTGATGATATATTAAGGCGGATGTTACATTTATGTAAAACTTGCCCTATGAAATGGACGCTTTGCTTGGCAGCCAGACTTTAAATAACATGGCAGATTGCCTACAGTCTCACCAGTGTGGATAGATCCGGAAGCTTGCAAAGAGTAAAGTCAAAGCAGTAATTAGGCAGGCAACTATTAGTGAAGATGAAATGGGGGAAAGTAACTGACTGATGGAAGCTGAGAGGATTGATAATGATAGTGTTATTTATGTTATGCACTCTTTTCCCGCAGCGCCTGGGCTTGATAGTGAGACAGGGAAGTAATAAATTGCCATCATCCTTGAATGTGAACAGGTGGATGGTAGGAGCGAGGAGAATTTGCTTTTAGAAAGAGAAATAAAAGGATCTTGGAGAAAGACTTCAAATGGACACCCCTGGGTTCTTCTGGAGGGAATTGGAAGCTATAAACAGTGTAGGCTTCTGCATATCTTTTCCCATTCTACACTGGGGAGGGACTTGTTATCTGTCCGGTGGGGATAGCCACCACTTTCTGATGTATTTATATGTTTTGTGGAGTAAAGAAATGGATTGACAGTTTAATTATAGATGTCCAAGGTCAGGAAGCATAGTCTTGCTTTTTGCAGAAGAGGTTGAAGTTTCTTGAAACTTCCTAGATCATGTCTATTGCGTGAGAGTCTGGGGCAGTACAAGTAGCGATCGGTGTGACTGGTGCCTGGGGAAGCTGCTGACCTGTCTGGGCATCTGTGTTTTCTGTTAGAGCCATCCTGAAATGGGGCTGATGACAACGCCAACAAGCCCAATTCCAGCAACACCTGTCACTCCACTTGGAACCACCCCACCTTCTTCAGATGGTAAGAAATGTAATGGTCTTCTGGGGAAAAACAGTTAAAAAGTGTAGAATAACGAGCAAAGCATTTTCTCAAGATGGCAACTAATGAGGTCTGTCTGGAGCAGATGTAAACTGGTGATCTCTTCCTGGGGTGACTTTCCTTACTAAACACGAGCAAGATTCTTTGACCTGAATTTATTTCTGATCTGCCTTGTATATTGCTTAATGAAATTTTGCTGATACTCCTTCTGAAAACAACACTGTCCCAGTATCTGTGTGAAGATGCACCCAGCCCATTAGTTAGTTATTCTATGCAGGCTTTTACTTATGAGTATTTCTAGTGTCAGTTTCTTTGGGATTATTTGTCATTGGAACAGATTTACAGAGAATTGCAGTGGATTTCTGCTTGTCATTAATGCATTTGTCCCCAGTTTTGAATTAATTGGGATTTGGACCCAGCCTGGGTGTCGAGGTATTCCTCCCCCTTGTTGCGTTTTCTCTGTTAGGCTTCCTAAATGACTGCTTGCCCTGAGATCTTTTTCTTCTAAGTGAAATGTTACGTGTCCACATAAATATGCTTTGAAACAATCTAAAATAAACCCCTTTTTGTTTAAGTTATGGATAGATATAGCCTAGTTTAAGAGAAGAAATCAGATGGCTGTTGTCACATGCTTTAATGCCATCCTCTAGATCTGAAGAAAGTGTTTAATGAAGGAACAGAGTCAGTTTGAACAGGGCATAGTTTGGAAATATTTCTGGAGAAAAGCAGCCTGAGTTACTCAGTTATAACAACTATTCGGGTCATTTGATATCCTAGTTAAGGATGATACTTCTCGTGGATGAATTCTATCTGGTTGCCATGGATATCAAAAGCTTCTGTTAAAAAGCCGCCTATGTCTCAAGTCTCCCTGTGCGTATAACATAAAATGCAGAGGGACGGGCATTTTGTGGGCCTCTGTTCAACACGTTCGTTGCAAATGTATCCACCCACACATGGTATTATACAACTGACAGAATTTATGCTTACCTACATTTACTGCTTGCTTGCACTCCCTTTTTTTAATTTACCAAAAAACAAAAGCAAAACAAAAACTCCATTGTGCTCTCAGCAGAGACAGTGTTCTCGTGGAGCTTGAGGCTTCTTGCTGCTTGTAAGGTTACGAAGTTCAAGGAGAGGAGCTGATCTTAATGTTCAGCAACTGCATTGGGAAGCATTCTTTGTCTGTTTGCTGTCTCAGTGACTTTTTTTATTTTGGAGGACCTTGGCTTGGTTTAATTTGAGTGTTAGTGCTTTAGTATTGCTGTTATTTTAAAGGTATGTCAGAATTCTCCTAATTTGCTACGGTATTGCTACTCAGCTGTAAAATTGGCCTGTGGCTGAGAGTTAGCAAGAGGCTTTTTAGCTTTGGAATGAGAAGATTGCTTTCTTCTTTTTCTTGCATTTAAAAAAAGATGTAGTTGAGGTATTTTCAAGTTACAGCAACATGTAGAAGTCCATCTAAGGGTTTCAGGCACTTTTTTTTTTTTAATGCTGACTGGGATTAACACTGGGTTCAAGTTCTGATTTGAAATTTTTCTGGCTGTTAGCCTATCATGGGAACTAAGGCCTTTTAAAGTTTAAAAATGTCTAGTAAAAAAATCAAGGTCTGTAGAATGAACCAGGATAAGCAGTGATGTGTTCTTCAGTGTGATTTCTTTTTTTAATATTTTTTAAAGGAGAATTTTGCTAGAAACTGTTGATCCATAATATGTAAATCAAGTGTGCCTGTCACCATAGTTAATCTAAATGTCAGTTTGCTTACTGTTGTTAAATATTCATTCACTGCGTTCATTGTAACAGCTCCAGAAGGACCCACTGGGGATATAAATACATTTTCAGTCTTCTAGCTAAATCTTTGAGCTATTCATAATATTGGGGGTGAAAAAGCTTCCAGTCTCATAACACAGACTTTGCCAACAGACCCGGCACGTTAGCAACATGTCAGGAGCCCCAGAGCTTCAAGATTGAATGGACTAAAACACCTCGCACCTGGGGATGTGCAGCCTTTGGAAGCTAAAAGCCCCATTATCATTTCTTCGATGGGATTCGAACAGCGAGGTTGCATTGATCTATTTGACCTGTTGTTTCCAAGGGCTACAATTTTGTATTCAAAGTGTTTGTGTAATCCTGAACGCCACGAGAATGTCTGCTGTGTTCTGGGCCTCTCTGTGCTCAGTTTAAAGAATCCTGCATTTTACTGTTGATTCATCTCCTTCATCCTTCTGTGTCTGCGCTTGCCCCAGTTCCAGGGGTAAATAAACCTTACTTCCTTCATTACAGGCTTATGAGATATAAGGCTTGAATTACGAAAAGTGTTGTTTGTTAAAGCAGGCTTTTCTCTGAACCAAAATACAGTTGTATACAGGATCAAATCACTCCCCCAAGAGCCCCAAGCCTTGCCATCCAAAAATCGCATGTGAGTAAGTCCTCACTCTTTGCAAGGTCCAGTTTCATCATAAATACCTTTCTCTTTCTTCAAGAGTGAGAAAAGCCTTGAGGATTCCTGAGGATAGATGGGAAAGAGATAATATAGTTCTTAAGATGTGTGTCGTAATGGTCTGCAGATCTGTTTCCAGTGCAAAGGGAGCACTATCTTAGGCTCTGCTCTGTTTATAGCTTGAGAAGACAGAGAGCCTTCTGGCAATTGTAATTCAAGCCACCTATGACCTCCTGCATGTCAAAACCTGCATGTCTGCCCCTAGACCGCCAGATCAGTAGCGTTATTGTTCTACCAGGACTGGCACATAGAGCTAGAAAAGATCCCCTTGACTCCTTGAATGGTGCTTGCAGGCACATCATCACAGAATCCCTTGTATTTATCAAGCTTTGTCTTAATTTGTTAAATTTGTTTCCCAATAATTCCTCTTGGGAGGCAGTTTCAGCATCTAGTTCCTTGGTGAGAAATCCTCAAGTTTCCAACTTGCATTTCTTGTCAGTTTAGCCCCTTTTATGTTAACCTTGCTTTGGAACACAGATAGCTTTTTCATGCACTGGGTTACTCGGCTGTGTATTTTGCTGTCTCACAAGAAGAGCATTCTCTTCTCTGATCAACTTGCTAGCCTTGCTCTAAACTTGTTCAAGTATGAGTTCATCCCCTTTTAACATGGGATTGCATAATTACACACAACATTTGAGACAAGGTCTCACCAGCACCTTGTGCAGGGCATTACTGTGTTCCTATCTCTGCTGGAAGTGCATTTCTGGGTATGTTTTAGGGCCATGCTTACTCTTCAGTGCTTTGTGCCGATAGCTTGTCATCTCATAATCCAACAGTGTACTGTGGTATCACAGCATTTCATTTGCAGCTGATGAGCTCTCAGCTTGCCATGGAAATAAATCCCTGAATTCCTGACCTTATGGCTTGTGCTGCTGAATTTCACGTTGTATTTATCATCTGGTTTCTGGTTTTTATCCTGTTCTTTGTGCACAGTCTGATACTCCTCTGTGTTAACATGCCCCAACTTTCTGCCATTAGCAGGTTCATTAGCAAACAACTGTTTCTGGTGCCTAGGTCAGTCACAAAAAAGAAAACTGTTACCTAAACTGACACCTAAGGAATTCGAGTAGTAACTTCTTCCTAGACTAATAATTTCTCTATTTGCCAGGTCTTTGATATACTTTATATTTCTGTATTGGTTCCTGCCTATCTTGCTTCACTCTTAATTTTTCATACAGAATGGTATTAAATGCATTACTGAAGTCCTCATAGACCAGCTCCAACAGTGTGTGGGGTTTTTTTGTATGTTTATTTGGTTAGTTGGTTGATTTTTTTGTCTGAGCTAATTTATCTTAAATGATATCAAACTTATCTGGCAGGATCTGCAAGTAAATGCATGCTGCATTTTTCCCCACTTATCTTTCCACGCCTTCAGTATTTCTTGTAAAGCGTTTCTGAATGGTGAAGCTGAGAATGGCCCTTGCAGGCATCTCAGGCTCAATCATTAGTAAAAACGTGGCTCGGTCACATGGCAGAGGTTTGACAGCCCATGAACTCAGAGCTTGGGTTGGTGCATGGGGAGTGAGCAGGAGGCACATTGTGCAATTGGCTGAGTAATTGAGACAGCTTCTTGTGAAGGCTAAGGCAGATGATGCCCAGTGCTCGGGTGTCAAAAGTACAGCTGGTGGTAACAAGGAGTGTGTCCTAGAGAAATGCCAGTGAACTGCTGCTCTGCTGCAGGTATGGAAAGTGCATTTCTGCTCCCTGCTGCCTTGTGATTTCTCTAGCGCAAGCTGTGATTGTTTCTGCTTCTTGATTTTTTTATAATGCTGCTCTTTCTATATCTATTTTCTACCATTTTAGTCATGCAATAATTGCTACGTTATTGTCTTGGTGTTGGGAAGGAAAGATGGAATTGATGTGGACCTTTTGGAATGGAAGTTCCAGAATTGCTGAAACTGAGAAGGATCTTTACTGGGCATGTTTCTTTTGAAACTGAGAATGTGTGAATGTTAGTTGTGTTGGTTGTAAGAATGAGCTCCCTAGGTTGGGAATGTTGACGAGTGCTAAACCAGCAGGCTGATCTCTCCTGGGGTGGGAGGGCACACAGAGAAGGATATCACTTTGCTGGGTACCACAACCTATCCTTAGAGCAGGAGAAATGGTCTCTGGGGGAATTATACCAGTATTCAAAACAAAATCCTTGCAGGGTGGTCATGACGGAGGAGGAGGTCTGGTGACCCTGCAAATAAGCTGGTCCTGTCTCAGATCTGTGAATCTGTGACTTGGTCCTCTGTGCAGTTATCTCTTGTATTTGTGGAGAGTAAACATGTCTTGTCTGCTTTGTTCCAGTTATAAGCTCTGCAGAGCTGCCTTTGGATGCTGATGTGCAAACTAGCAACCTGCTGATAACCTTCTTGAAGTACAGCTCGATTGTGATGCAGGACACAAAAGGTAAATAAATTCTGTCGATGCAGAATTCTGTGGGTGCAGCGAGCAGCGCTTCTTGAAATCAGAAGTGCATAAGAACACGTCTGGTGACTCCAGAAATAGAAGTTAACTGGAGTCCCTTTAGAGGACTGAAGATTCCACCTTTTGAGAAAATGAAGTGATTTGTTACTGCAAGATAAGAGTAATGAGACTAGGAGAGACCTAATGCTGGCAGGAGTGAAATATGGAAAGAATGTAATAATGATAATAGTACCTAATAACCAAGCCTGTCCCTGTGCAGGAGGTGTGAGCATATCTGATTATCAAGTGTCTGTCAGAGCAGAGAAGCCATGTACCAGCAAACTGTATTTTTAAGAACGTTTAGAAGCTGACACAGGAGGCGAAGCTCAGCATTAGGAGGAAATACTTCCTTTGTTCTTTGGTACTTGCTGGCTGAACAGGCAGCTTCTTAACTATAGAGAGGACAGCAGTGACTTATGCTGTACTGGCAGTAATTTACTTGACAAGATGTATTTCCATATTGTGCTTTTTGTTTGCCCTGATAGTTTTGTGGGGGTCAATTTCAGCTTGTTGGAGTTGAAATATTACTTCATGTCCTGCTCAAGGTACCCAAGGGTGCTGTTTTGCCCAGTGGTTGTGTGGGCAGGACAAAAGTGTGAGCATAACAAGTGATCTTTGTGCTGTATTTCAGCCTCTTACCAACTTCTGTTGTTAAGTTAGATGTAACAGCTGAACAAAAACAGGGAGATAGCTGCAGAGCTATGATACATCGATTATTGAGCTTGGCACTGTATAAGAGAGCAGGCAGGAGAGTTTCCTTGTGCCTCCTAGCTTGCAGTGAGATTGTACCTGGCTGCCTTGTTCTTGTTCAGTAAGCAAGCTAGTGGAGGAGAAAGTGGATAATTGGAATTAGGACCAAAAGGGACTTCATGAAAATATGTCGTGCACCCCTCATAACCAAGGCAGAATCAGTTTTACCTGTATCTTTTCTCAGAAATGTTAAGGAGCATGATTTTTAGCCTATCCATTCCAGTGTTTAACTATCCTTATTGTGAGAGAGCTTCATGTGCAATCCTAAATTCTTTGCTGTGACTTAAATTAATTGCTAGTTATCTTCCCCAGGATAGATACTGAGAACAGATTATTTCTTTCTTCTGTGTGACAGCCATTATGTATTTGAAGTCTGCTTTCATGTTTCCTCTTGCTTTTGTCTTTGAGTTAAACCATCTCAATCTTTGCTCAGTCATTTCTTGTAGACTGCACACATGAGGAAGGCTTAGCAGCTCTCTCATCATCTCATTCTCTTTTGCTTTTCTCAGGGTCTGTCTTGCTGATCTAAGTCTCTGATGGAACAGCTTTATGTTTTTCAGTTTATCTTCTGCACTTATTAGTCACCGATATATGGAAAGTCTGCACAGGGCCTCGGGAACTGCCAAACTGGATTAGTTTCAGATGGAGTAATATCTGATAGAGGGGATTCCTTACTAAACAAGCCAGTGAGAGATGAGTTTATTCTGGTGTGAGACAGGAGTTGATGTTTCTTTCTTTTCTTTGGTTCTAGCTTGTATAACATTTGAAATTTGTGTGGCTTATTTACTTAATCTTCTTGCTGCCATGGTAGTACGTGGCAGTGAGCTTCACTGACTGACCATTTAAAAAAAAGTATGTCTTCCAAACAAGTGCTTATTAATTCTAGTGGGTATATTCCTGTCCTTATATTTTGATGAGAGATGGGGCCTTGCCCAACTTCTTTTTTCTTGTGCAAGACCAAGCATGTGACAGCAATAAAGCAACAAGAGAAAAATGAACAACTGATTGACTCCACATGTCTTGGGACAGGTGGGAACACTTAGAGGGGAGACTGGTTTGTTCCACATCCAGGACTAGGCAGTTATTTTAGTCCTGTCCCATAGAGCTTAATTTAATAGATTGCATTTGCTAGATCCCCCTTCTGCTTTCTCTCTTGTGTCAGGCAGAGGCAGCTGCCTTGGGAGAAACAAAAGCTGTGCATTATTTTTTCCCATCTGTAAAATAGGGCTCATTCATACTGATATACCTCCCCATAGGAAGCGGTCTGCTTTGTTCCTTTGACGAAGGGTGCTGTGAAAGTACGAAGGGACTGTGTGAGTCACTGCCTGCAGAGCTGCCCCATAACTGCTGAAAATGGCTTGATGGTCACGACACGTTGGCTGAAGGCAGAGCACCTGATGTGAAGCAGGAGCCTTTACAGCACAATCCCCAGAGAGAGAAGTGGTAGCAGCACCTACAAAAATATACAGGGGGGCCTTACAATAGGAACATAACAAGGCTCCAGGGTATCAGAGTTCTCTGAGGCCATTTCTGCTTTGCTGGAGTAGAAAACTTCACTTAAAACATTTTAGCTGAGGTAAGGAGACAGAAGAGAGACTTTTAATTCCCATTCCAAAATTCCTCTTCATCTTCCTTAGTGGAGCAAGATGAAATCAGCACACTTCAGGGCACATCTTGTTAGTAAATATCTGTCCCTCAGTAGCATAAAAAAGAAAACAAGAGAGGCATCAAACCAGACAGAACAGCTAGCTAAGCCCATTCTATCTGTTTATAGATGACCATATACACACTAACTAGCAAAGTGTTTGTAAAAGTGACTTGAACTATTGCAAGGAGTTTGGCTGATGCCCTCTTCTGATTTTATCTGAAGGTGGTCTGTTTCAGATTCCCCTCCGCTCCAAGTTTGGCTCTAAGGCAGATGCCTGGGTTGGCATGTTTAGTAGTCTTATGCTTTAGGGAAGGTGTTGAAGGTCTCATGAATGTGCAGCTTTGAGCTTCCTCAGAGTTTAATTATAGGTATGTTGTTGTGGTTGGTTTTTGTTTGTTTGTTTTTGTGGTCTTGGGGGTATGTGGCATAAGTGGTTTGTTTTTTAGAACAGAGATTTTAAAATGAGCTTGACTGGACAAGGACTTGAACAACCTGATCTTAGTTGATTCTGCTTTAGGCAGGGATTGGACCAGAGATTTCTTCCATCCTAAGTTACTCTATGACTGTACATATCTTGGTTTTTTGAGATTTCAAGGTTAAAATTGAGAGAGAAGAGTTTTAAATAATCCAAATAAAGTTTGCAGTTTTTCCAACTTTAGTCCCTGTCTTTGTCAGTTTTTCAGCCCTCCAATTGTCATTCATGGCAAAAGCTGCTTGAAGTTGTAAGATGAATAACAAGTTGCGGAACATGATCAGGGTGGAATTCCTTTGGCTTAAAATGCTAAGTCTTTGCAGACTTCCTTCTTTCATATTTTGCACAGAGCAAACTAGGTCGTGTCTCTCAGTATTGGGGTTAAAACTCAGGGCTTGGAGCATAATGTCTGGAGTCCTTCCGCTGCACTGTGTGGTGCCTCTACCAGAGCTTTGTTGCTTGTTTCATAACCTACAGCAAAGGTGATATTTTTCTTTCCATCTTGTCCAAGAGAGACAGAAGTGCATCTCTGCTGTGACAGAAAGAACAGGGACTGACCCTGGTATTTAGAATATCAGTGGAAGTTAAACTGAGCGAGACAGAAGCCCCACTGATAGTTACTGTGCTGTTGGACGTTCAAATTGGAAACTTTGCTGTTGGCACAGGCTGATGAGAAATTGGTGGGATTTAGTGGTCAGGCTGGAGAGCAGCGAGTGCGTATTGAGAATAGTTACTATTAGCTACCATGGAGGAAGTAGGAGTATGAAGAATCTCCAAGGCTTCTCTTGCCGCAACAGCTGTCTCACTTCAGCATTGCTGGGCTTGTGTGGCTCACGCAGGACTTGTTCGTTTTTTTTCTTTGCAGATGAGCACCGGCTACACAGTGGCAAGCTGTGTCTGATTATCCTGACATGCATAGCAGAGGTAGGCTTCCTGTGTGGCACCGTTCAGCAGATGATGTGTTACAGGGGTTTACCTGCATGCACACCCCCTGCCTCCTGTTGATCAGGAGCTGAAGGTCTGCAGTGGTAACGAGTAGTGAGGAGCTCGGGCATTTAACGTTTTGCTAATAAACCTGTTGCAATACTGTTAAAATTGACTTGAAACTTAAAAATTAGATAATCTTATTTGGGTTAGCCAGCTCCCAGGAATGAAGAGAGAAGAAAGAGCACCTAAGCCTTTTCTCTCTTAGCTGTAGAGTAACCTTGTGGTGTAGCTCTTAGATGAGTGATGTGCGAATGGCTTTCAGCTCTGTACTGATCATGGTGAACATGGGCAATGCCATATCCCGTCTGCCTAAGAAGGGTATGAGTCTGAAAGAAAGCCACGTGGTTGTAGGTCCCTAAAAGCAAGACAAGCGGGAAATCTGGTAGTAGGGTGAGAAAGCAGTATCGCAGAGCTATGTCAGCAGTCTTGGCTGAATATGGTCCTGTCTCATTGGAAGTATGTACTAATGGCTTGGCTGACGTCCTGAATGGTAAGTGAGCTTGTGTGGCATTTACATTTTACTTGCTTGCAAGTAAAGAATTTCCACTCTTAACAAAGAATAAAAAGCAGTGGTGTTGATAGCCAGGGTAATGATTCTGAAGTAATGTTTCTTCAGGGTGCAGTCTGAAAGCTAATGATCTGCATTTCAGATATTTATAATTAAATGTTTTTGGCACTTGAGTTCTTCAGGCGGATGCATAGGTAATACAAGATAAGAAATTCTGTTTCTATATAGCAAGGGCATGTTTTGATTCTGCTGTTAAAAGGAAGGTATATTTATTACCCAACCTGGCTGTGCATTATCTGGAGGAATCTCTTTGATTTAGAGCTGGTTTTGGAATGAGCTTTCGCTGAGGGCTGGGACAGTTGATAACCTACCTGCTACTACTGCAGCAACTTCTGGCATGAGTCCATCAAAACACCACTATAAACCTTTGTCCACACCATCATGAGAACCTGCGCACTGGAAAACCGCCTCATGTGTTATGCAGCACTTGTTAAAATCCTGACGCTGGGGTGTGTGCAGTACAGAGCTCAGATGAGCAAAGGAGGAGAATGAAGAATAAACTGACAACAAACAAACAGTAGTGCAGACTTTAAAGTGGAATTAGGATCAGGAGGGGTTTATTTTTGTGTGACTGGCGACATGGGATTTGAGGCCAGTGGAAGGTGTTGGACACTGGGTTGGCTATTCATACCTCCTTCCTTTCCTTGCTTTTTTCAATAGGATCAGTATGCTAACGCTTTTCTCCATGATGACAACATGAATTTTCGAGTAAACCTCCACAGGATGGTGAGTCTTTTCCTCCAGATGGTCTGTTTTCTCTCTGGGATGAGAGCATGGAGGATTTGAGTCCCTGTATGTTGAAAACTGTGTCGGAGACATCTAACCTAGTTTGCTAAGGCATGGGAAAATACAGTGAGAAATGCAGTAGTTGGGGAATGATTTTGAAATTGCTCTCAGAATGTCTCACTCTTTCAAAGAACAAAGAGCTGGTTGCCCTGTTGGTGAAAACTAGGGCCCGTGTAGCTGCGGTAAACTCTGTATTATGAGGTCTCTGAGGAAATCAGTGGTAGAGAGAATGTTCTGCCTTAATCTTCAGCAAGCATTAGCCCTCGTGATATGTTGATAGCCAGCTGGAGTTACACTGAGTGCTCTAATTTGGCTTATGTTTCATCCTGGATGTGGGGGTTCACTTTCAAGGAGCAAAGTATTTTTTTCCAGAACTTCTTCCTATAGGTATTTGTGAAGGAAATGTCCTTATCTGGCTCAGGAAGCTCTGTAGTTACAAGTAACTTGAATGGTTATCCTAACTTGATGCAATCTGTCTTTGTGGTTCTGGCAAGTACCATAATCAGAGCAGCACTTGAAAGTGTCACTGGTCTAGAACAGAAACAAACATCTTTACAGTGAGCATTCTGCAGGGATGCTAGTCATTCCCACTTAACAACAAACGTGCTGCTCAAATAGCCTTTCTGGTCTGTTACAGTAAAGACCAAGCCATTTAATACTGCACACACTGTTAAGAATGCAGATCAGACTTCTGTGTCTGGAGCAAATCAGTATCTATTAGCCAAGGGGGAGGAATTGTTTGGGTTTTTTTTCTCTTCCTTCTTTTTTTTTTTCCCTCTTGCCATTTTTATAACAGTGTCCTTGAGTTCCACAGCTGGAGAAACAAAGATCCAGTGGTCAGCATGCTGAAAAGCAGGCACAGTTTTGCTCCAGCCATAATGCAGCTTTAGGATTAAGATAGGCGAGATAGCAGTTGGAGAAAAAGACAAGGGGAAGCTGTACTATCTGCATGAAAAATACAGTAATACACTGAATGTCACTTCAGGCTTTTCCTGACTTCTTTTCATCTTTTTGTGTTTGAAGCCAATGAGACATAGGAAGAAAGCAGCAGACAAGAACCTGCCCTGTCGCCCGCTGGTGTGTGCAGTGCTTGGTGAGTATTGTGAGTACGCCTGTGCTTGTGGTTCCTGAAGAATCTCTTGTTCTGCAATAGAATTATGAGATTCGTGGATTAAGGAGAGGGGCAGGTGGACTTAAAAGGAGGGTAGTTACATACTAAAGATATTTCCAGCAATGGACCATCCATCTCTATTATGCCTGGCTGACTCAAAGAGAAATGAAATCCAAGATTGCTGCTCTGTAGCAAGAAATCCTATATACATTTACTGTAGGTTTTGCAGAACCTTGTTGGCCACCTTTGCCCGAGTAAGTAACAAAAGGGAGGACAGCTCATAAATAAATTCAGGCTTTTAGGTGAGTACAGTAACAGTTGGTCACAAGTACTTTCTAGATGATATAATGAGGGCAAACCTACAGAAAGGACAGATGTTTGTTCGTGGAAGGTTTTTCTGTGCATTTAGCCTTTTCTGAGCAAAAAACCTATAGGAATGTCAGTAGCTAGGGTTGTTTTAGCTTTTGGAGGCTCAGTTGGAAGCTTTTCAGGCAGTGTCTGACCAGAGTCTGACACTCATTGCTGTGGAGGCCAAAAGCATAAATGAGTGCAGAAGTGAACAGAACTTGGATCTTTGAATGACTCTTAGGCCTGATGATATGGAAGCAGTCTCAGGCTCCAGCATTTTCAAACAGGTCATTGTTGAAGATAAAAACACAAGAGCTGCATGAAGAATCTTTCTAGACTTACCAGTTTCCATGCACTCTTTCTCTAGACTGTTCTTGGTCACTATTGAGCCACATTGCTGGGCTATAAGAGCCCTAGGAGGTTACATCTCAGTTGTTACCACTGACATGGGTTAAGCATTTTATGCTGAAGTTGTGTTAGGCAGAGAGCACACATACATTCAGTCAGTGTTTATTATCTGAACTGTAGTAACTTATCTTTTTCAATTGTATTTCTGTACTCTTTGCCTCTTAGCCTCACACTGGGAGCCCTTAAATGTTAGAGACACTCTCCTCTTTTTTTTTTCCTCTTCTTTCTCTTCTCCTGAATGAGCCTTAAGCTTAGTCTGTGATGAGCTCAGAATAGGTTTACTTGCTTCAGAATTTATTTTAGGGAAAAACAGATATTCTCTGCAATGTCTTCTCTCTAAACATCTATGCTGTGCTTTGTGTCTGGTAAGAATGATTTTTCTAAAATGTGCTTCTCAATGGAATTTTCCATTAGTGACAAGGCTTGAAATATGAGAGCAATTCTAAGCATCAGAATCCTTTATTTGGCTAATAGTGAGTGAAAGTATATGGGGAAGCAGTGCTTCAAAGCAAATTATGCTACATGCCCTCAGTATCCAGTAGTTTTGTTTGTTTGTTTGTTTTTAATTCCAGAGCATCTCAAATGTTTTTTAGAACAAACAGACAAATAAAAAAGAAATTTCATCTATGCAGGACTGTTGTCTGGTAGAGGTAGGTAGGTGGGTAATTTGACTTCCTCACTGTTGTCTACTAGAAGTTAACTGAAGCGAGCTCAATACTTTATCATTTTCTTTTCTGTCAGATTTGATGGTGGAATTCATTGTAACACACATGATGAAGGAATTTCCTATGGATCTCTATGTGTAAGTAGCTGTGGGGTGACTCATTGTAATTTCATTCGAAGTTTGAATTTGGGTGGAATTCCAGTCATAGAGCAATCTTCTGGCTGAAATAATGCTTTGTGGCTGGCAGGGAGCAGGATTGCTTTTTGTGAACTCTTCCAGGAACTTTTTTTACTTCTAAAATGGTCTGTGTGCCAGAAAATTGAAAGCAAAATGAATTTCCACCTTTCAGACCAATTTCCTAATCTACTTGATCAAACACAAAGAGCTTTTCAATCTGAAAGAAGTTTCATAATACAAAGTCACTGCAAGAATCCCCACTTCTCAGAAGCTGAATCTTGGACAAATAAACTGAAAAGGCAGTTTTGAAAAACGAAGGACAACTGATGTGAGGCCTGGAAGGCAACGTGGAGAGTGAGAGAGAGGTTTAAGCCTGAAATAGCCTGCTAGGCAGCGAGGGGTAAAACTTAGCAGTGAGGAAAAGGAGAGAAAAGGACAGGGCTACACATGAGCGCTCCATGTGTCCCATGAGGCCCCTAGAATGCTTTGTTCTGCTTTAGCCTGGAGGGCAAAAATAGGATTTAGGCAGATCATTGGCTTTGCTCTGACTGTTTGTACAGTACTGAATTTCCCCAAGGCTTGAACAGCACTATATTCTGTAGAAGAGATAAAGATACATAGGCTGTTTTCCCTTAAAGTAGCTTTTTGACATGTTCTGATTTTGCCCAAATAACCCTGCAACTACAGTGCCTTTGCAAGGATTGTGCAGTTCAATTATGAGTTTGAGATTTTTGTTAATGACATGCGGGTTTTGTTAATGTCAATTACAGAATTAGTTGTAGATGGGTGCAGTGCATTCTGATTTCACAAAGTTGTGAAATACTTGGGCTCAAAAGTAAGGTCACATCTAGAAATCCCATGAAAGTAAAAATAATGAGCAGTAGCAACCATCAGTGGACATCTGTATCCATTCATTGTGGCATTTTTGTACAGTCCTTTTGCTACGCTCCTGTCTGAAACCATCCCATAGCAGACGCAGTTGTTGCAGACAAAGTGGGTGTTCTGAATGCACAGATAGTGTCATACTTGTCTGCAGTACATTTAAAAGGTGACAATACGAAGCTGCTCAAGGGACGGCATATTAATATTTAAAAGAGAAACCCAGGTTGCTTTGACCAAGGGTGATTTTTGTCCATTATGTGTATTATGAATCCTCAGCACAAAGCTCAGCACACTTCACCAGGATGGATAACTTCATAACTAGTGCAGTTTCATAGCTAAAGCAGTGTGGTTTGGGAGTCTATAGGCTGGTGGCTGGTGCTCTGGCTCTTCAGGCAGGGGTAGTAGCACTGTTATGCCCCTCCTCATCCCTTTTCTTTCATGCCTTCATTTCACCTAGAAAGTTGTATGCTACCATATACAGCCAGAAGGTTTCAATGTTGAGATATGCCTGCAGCTACTGTAAGTATAAAGAAATGTTTTAGCCATTGCCAGATTCTCTCTGGTCAGTGCCTTGAATTTTTTTGTGTGTTCTTTGTAGAGGCTGATTTTAGTCTTACAGCCAAGCAAATACATAGGTGGAAAGGTACTGGGCATTGTATGGTAACAACAGAAATCGCAGAGCAATTGCTGTTCAATCTGAAGACAGCTGTCTGCATCCTAGCTGGTTTGCTTCCTTTTTCTTGATTGAATTTATTAGAATCCAATTTGAAATACAGCACTTAACATGATGCTCAGCTACTGTAAATGATTTTGCCTTTATTTCTCTTAAAGTTCGTTTCAGTCCTTACCCCATTGTGGTATTTTTGGCGTCATCTGAAGGTCTGAAAAGAATAATGTATACCTTCTGCATATAATTTCTTAAGGCTTTTTAAAGCCTTGTTTTGAACTCTTCACCCTAATTTGGATAACTTCCATGCATTTTTTTTCTAAATTCAATTTCTCTGTGTTTGTCTGATGTGTAGTGTCTTTCAGTAGTGCCTTTTCAGAGAGATGTTGATATTAGTGAGATAATGTGTTTTTGAAAAGTAAGGATTTGGGGAAAAAGGAATTGTTCTTTTTTGAAGTCCTTCTGTTTTTTTCTAAGTGTCAATAACTAAAAATAGCTTGGTCAAACAAATTCAAATTTGTGTATGTTTTCTGTATATATATTTCACGTTTGCAATATTGTGTTCAGTTCTGGGCCCCTCAGTTCATGAAGGACAAGGAATTGCTTGAAAGAGTCCAGCGCAGAGCCACAAAGATGATGGAGGGAGTGTAGCATCTCCCTTATGAGGAGCGGCTGAGGGAGCTGGGTCTCTTTATCTTGGAGAAGAGGAGACTGAGGGGAGACCTCATTAATGTTTATAAATTTGTAAAGGGCAAGTGTCACGAGGAAGGAGCCAGGCCCTTCTCAGTGATGTCAGATGATGGGACAAGGGGCAGTGGGAGCAAGCTGGAGCATAGGAGGTTCAATCTGAACATGAGGAAAAGCTTTTTTACTGTAAGGGTGATAGAGCACTGTACCAGGCTGCCCAGAGAGGTTGTGGAGTCTCCTTCTCTGCAGACGTTCAAAACCCGCCTGGACGTGTTCCTGTGTGACCTGGTCTAAGTGATCCTGCTCTGGCAGGGGGGTTGGACTGGATGATCTTTCGAGGTCCTTTCCAACTCCTAAGATTCTGTGATTCACAAGTACACTAGCTGTATGTTTGGGGATTTCAGAGCCTGTGAGTGTATTGCTTGATCATTCCAAGGATCATACTTAAATTACTTTTTTAAAGAGACTGGAAAATTTGACAGAAATCTCTTTTTTATATAATTAAACTGCATGCCTCAGTCAAACTAAAAATCCTGCAGTTTCTTTGGCTCTATCATTTCCTTTAGCCTCATCATTTGGGCGAAAGAAACTTAAAAGCTCTGCTGTGTCCAGATTTTACAAAACCTGAGCACAGTATCCCATACATATGGAGCCTGCCAGTTAAGTGAATTCTTTTGTAGAGCTTATGAGGCCCCCAGGTAAGGGCAGCAAAGAGTGGAAAGTATTGTTTAAATATAAACAAACTTGCATCTGTATTCGGTCCAATCACATTGAGCTAAAACTGGCATACAGGCCCCTTTCCCTCGTCTTGTCTGGTTCTTTCTTGTGGGTGTTGCTTCCCTTTAGGAGACCAAACCCATGAGCCTCGTCCTCTGTTAGGCTTTGAGTTTTTCTGTTTCCCTGCTGCTGATGTTAAAGACATTTCCAGGTTTGATGTAGAATTGCTGGGAAATGCAATGTCTTTTGCCTTCTCTTTTCCAGGCGATGCATTCAGATTGTGCACAAGCTGCTGTGCTACCAGAAGAAATGCAGAGTGAGGCTTCATTACACCTGGAGGGAGCTCTGGTCAGGTACTTTGCATCTGTGGAGACAGTCAAATATGGACAGTGGGTGGCTGTTTGGTGACCATGACTGCTTGTTCCTTTGCTACAGGGTTAAACGGCAAGCAGCAATTCTGTTAAAGCCTCTTTATTTTGCTTCTTAGTTGCTACATGCAAATTACCTCTTTTGGAAAACCAGATCATTACCATAATGGTAGCTAATTTGCTTTCTTGTCTGGCCATGATCACCATGGTATCCAAATGCCTTTGTTTTTCTGTGTCATTACCTGAGTCCCTCTTCACCTGATTGGAGAAATGGAGTCATGTTTTATGCAGTAGTGTTTCTCTTGCAGGTATTTGTGAGTAGAAAGGAGGTAGCCTCTTGGGTAAAGGAAGCTGGAACTTACTTTTCCCCTTTTGCTCTAGGAGATGGGTATTCATAGAACAGTGTGTGCAGCTCTTTCTGAAGAGGGCAACCTCGAAATGTCAGTGGGAGGGAAGAGAGGCTTTTTTAACTCTGACCTTTGCATTTATGGTATGTAGTCTGGTTGATGCCACTTCTATCCTGAGATAGAAAAGTATTATGGGATTTGACTCATAATCCGGTGGACTTTGTAGGACCGTTTTATGATGCAATCATTGTGTGGGAGATCTAAGGAAGGGAATAGCAGAATGGATGATGAGACCTAACAGGCTGCTTTCATGGATATGGTGTGTGCTTCTGTTAACTTGCAAGCGGTGAAGTAGCTCAGCTAGGAAAGTGCAGTTAATCCCCTAGCTGTTGTGGCTTAAACAAGAGGTATATGAAAATTAAAGGAAATGTGGCCCTAATTGTGTATTCCTGGAGCTGTGCTTGAGACCTAGCTAGGATCAGTGACTCGGCTGGTGCAGTGCAACTCCCATCGGAAATTTGAGAGAGGATGACTTTTGAAAAAGGTGGTGATGAGTGGTGTGTGAAGCGGTTCTCAATGAACACTGAATACTTCCCTTCAGTAGCTTTGCGCAGCTAAGTGTAGGTACGGAGAAATGAACCAACAATCTGAGTAAGTTATTAAATTTTCACCTGGTGTGACATGTGGCCCATTCAGACTTTCTAAATTATTCCTGTAGAAGGTGAAGTGGGTGCCCCTAATTAAGGGATTAGTGATTTCTTTTCAATTGTTTTCTTCAGAACAGAAGCCCTAGAGGCATGGCTGCAGTGTAGTGCTGGTTCAGGAGGAGAACGTGTACAAATTGGACGTCTGTTGTGAATACAAATTGCATCTGACTGTGTGTGATATCTTCTCAGCAGTTACCAGTGAACCAGATCCACTCCTATTTGACCAGGCTGAGCTAAGTCTTTCCAAAACACTGGCAGTGTGGAAGTCTCAAATATAATGCCTTTTGCTTGAAGGTGCTGTCCTGCAGTTCAGAGAGCACATTCTTGGGCATCTTTCAATCCTTAACTTTCTCTCTCTATTTTAGGGGAAAAAATTAAAATCCTTGCTATGCACTGAGATTCAGTATCTTGGGATATTCATGTTAGCTGTCTCTAATTAGCTGGTGTTTGTATAGTGCTTTGGAAACATGAAGTGTCTCAGAAATATTAAGTACTGCACCTACTTTGACAGCAGAGCAGTAAAGTAAAAAACACTTAGATTGGTCAGGTTGCTGTGAAGGCCCTGGAATGTCTGCACACCTCATGTAGCTGAAAAGCTCCATGTTTAGTACAGATTTCTGGTGTTTAGGGAGATCCTCTCATGCAGGACTAAGTTACAGTATGAAAAGAATGTTTCAGATTTTTTTCTTATAGGATGTTGAGGTGAACAGGGAGATTCTTCAGTAGCTGCTAGTAGCATGCAGACTGGAAGGCCCTGAGTTGGATGGTTTGTGCACCCATCCTAGGCACATCCTGGCTGCTCCAGGTGTGTACTTCTAGAGTGCTGTATGTGGCAGACTAAATGCTAATTTCCAGCCCTATCTTGAGATATGCTTAATAATTAACTCTTACCCCTCTCAGGGCTGCCCTTTGATTAACCAGAATGCTGCTGCCTTTGATGTGAAAGAATGGCTATTTTTCTGGTCTTCTTGTAACTGACAGATGGTTCCAAAGCAGAGCACAGGGACTTCTGAGTTAATTTCTATCATTGATGTGAACATATTCCTTTTTGGGCTTTTCTTTTGGATGAAGAATTAGTTACCACTGCTGGATGAGCAGCTATTCACTGTAAGGTCTGAGATCTCAGGTTGTCCCATCAGGCATGCTTTACAGAAGGTCTTCAAGCCCACACTTGTCTTCTTGAATGACAAGGTGTGCGATGATGAAAGCAATGCTCCTGTTGTACAGCATGGATAATAGCAATGGATGGCCCCCAACAGAGCTAAGTGGAACAAAAAAGGGAGTATTGAGAGAAAAGGAGAGAATTCTACCTGGCTCGTAAGAGGAGGGAAGTTGGTTCAGGCAGAAAATTGAGTGGGACAAGAAGACAAAGCGAGTACTGTGGGGTAGGTGGTCGGTTTAGGGTGCGGAGGAACTGAGATAAAGATTGTAGGTGGAAGCAGTAGCAATGTATGAAGCCTTCTGTTCACTTGCTGATTCTAATGTTAGCTTGTCTCTAATTAAGGAAAGCCACTCGTGTGTCATCTGATGGATAGATGCTCTTCCTTTGTAGGTGCTTTGTCTGCAGTATGAAAGGCCAGCAGCACTTTGAGAAAGTTTCTGTTAATTTCATTTTTTTGATTTTAAGTTGTACCGACTGCAGAGAAAAGCAGAGGAGCCAGGTGTATGGCATGTCTCAGGGCACATATTGGGCTGTCTGTGCAATCTGTAATACTTCATAGATTTTTGGATACATCACTATGTGGCACATTGCTTACATATGATCTTACTTCTCTTGGACTTTCTTTTTCAAGATCTGAGCTTGAGGAAGAGCAGTATTGTTACTGAGTCTTTGGTTGTGATCCAGCCTTAGCTTTCCTATTAGATTAATTCTTTCATATTAAGTCAAGGGGACAGGACTATGGCACTCAATATGGTATAAATCTCTAGCTGGGCTGACCAGATGACCGAGAACGTTTAGCTGACAGAATTATTCAGGGGTTTGAAAGCTGGAAGCAGGACTGACAGGAAGATCTGTGGGTGGCAAAAGTAGTACATGTAAGCTGGCTCTAGCCACAAGTAGTGTGAAAATAAATACTGGATCACTAGCAGAGCTAGATTCTGGAATATCCTAAAAAAGAACAGTGGAGAGTAAGAAGCAATTTCAATTTGACTAATTATTAAAATTATTACCAAGTGCAGTTACTGATAGGTGGAGCAGGCATTCAGATCCAGAGATGCCCGTTGATCTTGGTTCCTCTTTAGTAGGCATTTTCAGCAGATTATTAGCTTCAGTTCTATCATCTGTGGTTATTATGTGGGTGCTTTCCTTTAAGCACTGAAGAAAATCAGGTTTCTCTTCTGTGACAGTGTACCATTACTGGTGACTAGCCTGGAGATTTGGCCAAGATCAGAAAATGTGAGTGGTATGATTGTGTTGACCTGGTCCCACACAGACATTTCAGGCAACTGGCAAATTTCCTGGACTGTTAGTGTACCTGATACTTTTTAAACAGTGATTTATTGAATCAAATCAAGTGTCAAATACTTAGGAAACTTTACTTGGTAACCAGTTCCCTCTTCTCAGAAATAGCATGTTATGCTCCATATTTTTCTTAAGTTCTGCTCCTTACTTGAAAATACAAGGTTGATTTTGCTGGTCATAAAGGCGAGGCTTGGGTTTTAATTGTTGAACTCTAACTAGTTTGTGTAGCACTTGAGTGATGGAAAGTGCTATATATGTTGTTGTTGTCAAGCATGTATAAGCGATGCCAAAAGACTTTTCATGAGTCATTTAAGCTTTTTATATAAAAAGACCTCATTTCTTCAACTCCTCCCACCTCAAAATTAGTAATGCTTGAGCAATTCACTCTGAGCTTAGGGGGTGCAGGTAACTTTTTTGCAGTTGCTATGGTTTGCTTTAAGAAAAGCTGTGTTTAAAGAAACAGGAAAGCAATTCTAATATAGACTTATAATGGCAAGAATAGATCATAAAAAATCTTAAATATAGTAATGAATAATTGTGAAATAGCTATTTATTAGGGCAACTGAATGCAAATTAGGATTAAAAGTGAACATTGCCATTAGTCAGTATTGAAGATCAGTTTTCAAATCGTTGTAACATAAGGGCTACAGTTTCTTATCTTGTAGCTTAGCTAATTTGATAGATGCTGAATGCACTGTTAAAGTGAAGGTGCTTCAAATGTGTGGCACTATCCAGAAGTTAATTTTTCTGCACTTTTATTTTAAGGATTATCAGAGCAGACTTTTGCAATGCTACTGGACAGAATATCACAGAATGGTTTGGGTTGGAAAGGACCTTAAAAATCATCCAGTCCAGCCCCGTGTCATGGACAGGGACACCTCCCACCAGATCAGGCTGCTCAAAGCCCTGTCCAGCCTGGCCTTGAACACTTCCAGGGATGAGGTTTGGCACTTCTATCCTTCTTATAGACTCCTCAGATCTTTTTATCAGTTTCTGTATTTATAACATGAGGATAATACTGCTTTCAAAATAATTTTAGGATAATACTAAAGAACTGAAAGGTTTGTCTGTGGAACAGTTTAAAATAAGCATTTTTTTTTTTTTTACAGGATCCACTTTCAGTACATATAACACTTGCCTTATACAGTGCATGTTTAAGGTGGTATTGTTTAGTCACTTTGTTTTGTTATTTCTGTGGATGAAATAGTGATTGCTAATAGCATTTGTTACTTACAGCATTTCTGGCTCTCCAGCTGTTGATCTGGTCCGCTTCAGCTCTCTGATTTGTGTTGCTGAGCAGATCAGAAATCAGGTGGTGTTGCTTTTCCCCTTCGTCTCTCATTCTGCTGTCACTGTCACATTCTGCAGCAGCGACCTGGCAAGGGAAGCTTGTCTGCTTGCAGCTCTTGTGGAGGCAGGATTCAGGATACCAGACAGTCTAGTTCACTGGTAAAAAGCCTGATCACC